CGGCGACGCGCGATGTCCGCTGGGGAGGGAAAGAAAGAGCTCTCTGCGTGGGCTGGGGACCTGGCCTAGTGGAACAAACTGCACTGTGGCCTTTAAGTCCACCCGGCAGTGGGGGCCCAAGTTCTCTTCCTTACGTGTAGTGTGGCCTTGAGTGAGTCACCAGCTCCTGTGAGACTTGCTTTCCTCCTCTGAAAAGTAGGACTTAATGGCTCTCTGTGTCCCTGAGTGGGTGGGGATGAACTGGAGGAGCCTGGGGCCTGAGGACATGATTGACACCGCACTTTGGAAGAAGCCCTCAGGGAGCCCTGCTTCTCCTCCCTCCCTTGACTGAGCATCTGCAATGCTACAGTGTTGTTATGACAACTGTAGGAAGTCAGGTGGGAGCACAGCGAAGGCCCAGAGACGTGGAAGTTCAGGAGAGACCCCAGGACCTGGGACCACCGAGAGAACCTAACTAAAGTTGCCCCCAGTAGGGCCTGGAAGGCCACAGACATTTAGGATAAACTGAGGATAAGGCTAGAACAAGGTGTTCCTGTAGCACAGACACATGGCATACTTACTGCCATTCCCTGGCCAAGCCCGGGGCAGACATCACTAATGGATTCCAGCTTACTTTGACACCAAGTTGGGACATGGCCTCTAAGGCCTTCTTAGCCAGGCATGGTGGTACACGCCTTTAATCCCAGCACCAGGGAGGCAGAGGCAGGTGGATCTCTGAGTTTGAGACCAGCCTGGTCTACAAAGCAAGTTCTGGGACAGATGGAGCTGTTACACAGAGAAATCCTGTCCAGAAAAACAAAACCAAACCAAAACCAACCAACCAGCCAACCAACCAACCAACCAACCAAACAAACAAACAAACAACCCAAACCCTTCTCAGCTTTGTAACCACCGACAATTCTGTAGACCTGGCATTCTGAAAAACCACTTCCTGCAGGAAGGCGGTCAGGCTATCAGGACCATGAACTTTGGGCCTGGACACTAGAACTAAACCCCCGGGGGTTGGAGTTGCTTCTGTTTCCTCATCTGTAAGTTCCCAGAGAGGGTACCACCTTGTGACTTCTCCTCCCCAGCCCGGCTCTCTGGAATCAGAATTCCCATGGCTGGTACCCAGGCCCTGCGTTTTAAACGAATGCTCCGGGCATCGCGATACTTGCCTAAGCTTGATTGCCGCCACTGTTACCATCTTAGGCCAGTCCTCGAGGCAGCCGCTGCAGGCGAGAGCCTGGAACTCCATGTCATCGAGATGAGATCTCAGAGGGCCCACATAGACGCTGGCTGTCCTTCTCTGGAGGGCAGCTGAGGACCAAGGGCCCAACCAGCTACCTTGGGCCTCCCTAGCCTGCCTCCCACCAACCCCTCCCTTCTTGTTCTGTCTCTTCCTCCATCCCTGCTCCAACACAAATATTTATATACAGGGACGTTAACACACATTCACGCATGTATTCCAACTTGCCCCTCAGTCCGGGTGACCCCAGTTCCCAAGGGCAGACGCCCCCACCCGGGAGTCTAGTGGCCCTGTACCGGCCCTCTTCTCCTGCCTCCACTTAGTGTTGCCCAAGGTTCCCACTGGCATCTTCCCATCTCCACCCCCACCCCACCCCATTCCCGCAACCCCCCCACTGTCACTTCCTTTCTCAGGCTTGAGTGACAGAGCTGCCCGCCCCCCCCCCCCCCACACTGTCCCCAGCCTGTTTTCTCACCGAGTAGTTATGGTAATGGCACTGCAGAGGGCTACTGGGAGACTCAAGTAGCTGGATGCAGGAGCTAAAGGCAGGATCTTGCATAGCAACCAGTTTTGGTTGTTGTTGTTGTTTTTGTTTTTTTGAGACAGGGTTTCTCTGTGAAGCCCTGGCTGTCCTGGATCTCGCTCTGTAGACCAGGCTGGCCTCGAACTCGCAGAGATCCGCCTGTCTCTGCCTCCCGAGTGCTGGGATCAAAGGTGTGCGCCACCGCCAGGCTCGAGAGTTTTACCCTTGTGTGCAAGCACCACCCTGGCCTCTCTGACCTTCATCACTCCACAGCATTGCTAATTCTTCTTCTGAGGTGGGATCTCAAACTGCGTAACTCACTGTGCAACCCAAGCTCACCTTGTACTCGTGACAATTCTCCTGCCTCACCCTCTCAAGTGCAAGGATTACAGGCCTGAGCTACTGTGCCTAGTATTAGTAGTAGCCTGTCCTAGTCCTCTTCTTAGTGGGAGGGACTGAAACTCTTTCTGTCCCAAGCCACACGGTGAGTCACGTGGCTCTGCCCTGCATGTCTCATGCTGATAGGCTGACAGAGGGAGAGGCAGCGTGCTCTCCTCATGATGTCTTACCCTCCGGAGAGCTTGGGTCTAGCTCCCTAGAGTGAAGTCGTCAGTTGTGGAGACAGGTAAACCCATGCCAGTCTCAGTTCTGCCTGCTCCCAGACTCTGAAAGCTTAGGCAAGTCACTTCTTGGGGCACCAGTTTCCCATTGTCAAATGGGACTAAGAAGTCTTCCCGGGATATAGATAGCTCTAGGTCAGAGAGTCTAAATGATCTTTTAATGATGGGAGAGTCAGGAAGGCCAGGTGGAGCTGCTGTGATCCTAGGCTGGTCACACGTGCTGCTGGGTGGCCAAGCGGTGTGGCTCTGAGCACAGGCTACTCGCTCTAGGGTAGCAGTCACATGGTGGTCTCCACACACAGCTGCCATCCTGCCCGGATGACCTGAGCGAATTCTATTGTGAGTTCATGCCTTAGAGAACCACACACTGCTTACAGGCTGCCTGCTTGGACTGGAGGCTTCACAGGTGCGCACTGAGGTCCAGAGAGTTGGGGAACCATGAGGCTCTCTGGTGGATCTTTCATCCGTCCTGGCCTCTGTGGAGCCAAACTGGCTTATGGCGCCCCCTGCTGCCGGACCCCTGGAGGCACAGCACAGTGATGCAGCAGTCAGCCTTTAGTGCGGTTCCCTGCTCTCCAGAGGAGCCCCTCTTGGTAACTGTGTGTACTGTGTGTGTGAGCCCAGGAGCGGTCACTGACTTAGACACTCCAGCCTTGTCTGGCCCGTTCTGTGATGTTGAGGAAAACGCAGGTGATGGCCCTTCCCTGGCTGTGCTTCCTTCCTGCCCCCTTGCAGGGGCTATCATGGCTCCAGCCAAGGTCACAGGTCAAACACAAGGACTCACAAAAGCCCTTCATCTCCAGGGCAGGATAACACTTTATTCTCAAAAAGTCTAAAGATGTTTCCTACGTCTAAATTCCCCGTGTCTAAATAAGTTCGGTGCGCAGACCACTGTTGCCACGTGGCCACACAGGACCCAGCTCGTCAGCCACACGTGGCCATGCGACCCCAGGAGTCAGACCAGGACCAAGAGGGGAAATCATCTGGGACCCTGCTCCTAAAGGAGCCCTCAAACCCCAGTGGGCTTTGATGCCAGACCCCAATTCTCCGCGTCTTACCAGCTCCAAGAGCCCAGGCTAGTTATACTGTTCTGGGTCTCAGTTTTCTCCGTGCAAGCTGGGACCAACAGTAGTAGATGGTGCTTGGAATCGTGAGGATTAAATCAGATCATGTGTGTCTACAGACTTTAGCACAGTGCCCGGTACACAGTACTCGCCATGGCTGATGAGCACCGACCACCCATGCACCCACCCCTGTGCCTTTGTTGACTCACAGCAGCCCGAGGAGGTGGGTCCAGTTGTGACCCTCATTTTACCAAGAAAGGAAGCAGACGTGGCAAGCAGATGGAGCACAGGGAAGGTCCATTAGCTAATATGTGATTGAGCTAGGATGCAAAGCCAGGCCGTTTGGAAGCTACACTCTTAATCACGACTCTAATTACAGTGGTAATGACAATAAGAATTATAGTTATTATTCCGTGAGACTATGAGCTCCTGGTCCCAGAGGTGGCAGGGTGAGGCCAGGCTGGCCCCAGGGATCCCTGCCAGAGTGCGGGAAGGGCCAGTGACTCTGGGTTCACTTCTGTTACCTTTCAGCAGGGCAGGGTCCTGGAGGGAGGGGGAGGGACAGGTGGAAGGAGCCGCCCTTTTGCAAGCCCGGCCTTGCTGCAGCTGGAGGAAGAGAACCTTGGGGACCATGCTGGCACCTCCAAAGACCCGAGGCTGCTGCTGCCAGGGGGTGTATTTAAGAACCACTAGGGCCAGGGAAGTTCCGGCCTTCCTGTCTCAGTTTTTGGTCTTCCTGGTTGCAGCCTCCCTCAGACCCATTCCCCTTTTAGTGACCAGGCTCCCTAGTAGCCTGAAAGCTGAGTCCCGGGGTCAGAGCATCCCAGCCCACGGCCCGGCTCCTGGGCTTGGACTGGTCCCTGCTGAAGATGACCCCACCCCACCTCCAGTAGTGGAAGGAAGAGCCCATTTCCCAGCAGTACAGAGACAGGGGGTGGTGGCTGGCGGGAGTGGTCCCCAGGCCCATTGTGTGGGGCTGATAAAGTGCGGAAGCCGAGGTTAGAATGGGAGGAAACCCAGCTCCCTGGGCCCTTTCCCACGGGTGGGGGCTCCAAGCACTGCTGAGCTAGGCTAGCGCTGCTCAGCAGCAGCCCGTGTCTCCGCGGGACAGCAGCGGTGACGTCAGGCCACCGAGCTGTTGAGGGCATGGTTGGGGACCCGGACTTCATCCTGGTGAATCTTCGGGAACCAGAACAACCAAAAAAAAAAAAAAACAACCTTTTTTCAAGTTGCTGGGAGCAGCACACGTGCTGGGGGCCTGGCTCCACACCACGTGGGTGTGTGCCCCTGGTGCACGTACACACGCGAGTTTCCCGCTCTGCTCCGCCGGTGTGGCAACCGACTCAGGAAGGAGGCGGCCCTTCCTGAGTCCTGGAAACCTTCACCTTGTGCCATCTTGGCGCTTGCGTGTCTGCGCCCTCTGGTGGACAGGCCTTGATTTACACAGGCTTATTCTATCTCTTAAATGCTCAGTGTTGTTGGGGCAAGGGACAGCGTCTGTTCAATTAGGGACTTTCTAGGAGGATTAAAGAGACGGGAGCCAGAGGGAGGGTATGAGGCAAGGAGGAGACGGAGGGCACAAGGAGAGAGGGCCTCTCATGCAGGAGATACAGGCCAGGCAAAGGCAGAGGGCAGGGGCTGTAGAGTCTGCAGGCTCCCGTGGGACATGGCGAGGAAATTTGCTGCCCCGGATCCGGCAGTGAGGACGCCCAGGTACACTGTCTCCAGTCTGTGTCCCCTTCTCAATGCATCCATCTGACAAACTTGACTTTGTGTGCTCCTATCACACCGGCCGTATGAAGGTGACCAGTCTGCCTGAGGCTTCCTCTGGGAAACTCAGATCCAAGCCGAGGAGGGTTCGGACAAGCTATTCTGGGTGTGTGTGTGGTGGGGGACGTTAAAAGTGATAGAGAGGGCACAAGAGGCTCCCTGGGGACAGTGGCCTCTGAGCTGCCTGGCTGAGGTCCCTCAATCTTGGTCTTACCCTAAGCTGGATCTCAGAGGAGGGAGAGACAGGAGAGTCACCAAAGGATGGGGATGACAGAGCAGCTCTGCTGGGCTGGGGCAGAGGAGGCGGTCTCTACAACAGGTGCTGGACTGGAGATCAGCTGACGGTGTAGCAACTGGTGTTAGCGTGAAACCTGTGCCAGGTCCTGTGATGAGTACTCTGCCGTGCCATGGGATTTGGATGCTATTCCAAGAGCACTAGGGAGAGCCCTGGGATGCTTTAAGGCAAGGGGGATGCTCTCAGTCTCCTTGAGCATCCTGAGCTAGTCCGTTAAGGTCTTGGTCACAGAATTAAAGAACGGAGAATCAGAAAGGGTCAGTGACTGGCCAAATCACACAGCAGAAGCCTGTCTGGATCCCTGCTCACCTGCCATGCCTGGGGTGATGCTCTGTTCTCCGTGACAATTGCCCCTCTGCTTCTCCCCAGCAAACCCGGAAGAAGCGGACAGCTTGATCTGGGAGCTCTGCCAGGGACGGAGCACCGGGCCTCCACAGGCGGCTTGCACGCTGCTGGGGCCCCGTGCCCTGGGTTTGAGCAGCAGCTCCTGGGTACCTAGACAACTTCATATCTCTGTTCTCTCCGCAGATGAGTGGGACTGACCTCGGGGATGATGACGAAGCCTCCCGGAAGAGAAAGAGCAAAAACATGTAGGTTGGGAAGAATCCTGATCGTCATCCCCCTGCCCAGGGAGTCTCCTGGCATCTCTCTCTTCTACCCCATACTGGTCTCCTGGATGGGGGGCGGGGCTGGGGAAAAGGAAGGGTGGCACCCTGGCCACACCCACTCCCCCAGACAGATACTAAGAAACAGTGAGATGCTGAAGTCCCAGGGTGAATCATCAGGATCTTGAACATTCATTTTCTCAGAAATAGGCAGCAACCAAGAAGCCCTGGCCTGGCCTGGCCTGGCCTCTGAGCCGAGCAGTGATGCAGAAAAATCCTTGGCACACAGAGCAGAACTGACAGTTCTAAGGAGTTCCTAAATGCTAACAGTCTCATGGATAGCCAGGAGGGGGCACTGTTGGCCCGGCTACACTAGATCCCATCCTCTGTAAGCCTTTGTGATCAAGCCAGCCCAGGCTCCCTACACTTGCGGAGGTTTATTTCTGGTGCCAGTTAACAAGGTCTCTGGGTTGTGAGGGATGGTGTGTGTGTGTGGGGGGGGGGGGGGGCTGGATACTGGAAGAGCAGAGTTATAGGGAATAGTCTGTGGGGTCATGACCCCCAGAGGGAACACATTCCCCCAGAGGGAGGCCGCCGTTCCTCCAGGTTCAGTAGTACCCACAGATCAGAAGGAACTGGAACTGGGGGAAGACGACAGGAGTCTTCCCAGGCAGGATGCCGTAAGTGACCCTCTTACCTAGCACAGACCTCGGATGGAGCCGGCTGGTGTGTGAACCCGTCTTCTCCAGCTTCCATGCCCTCTCCCGTTTTCAGCAACCACAGTGGGCTTCTGTCAGTCTGCAGCCGGAGACAGTGAAATGTACAAACAGCAATCCTCTGCACGGACAACTCCCATTTAGCTGCTGCAGTTTGTGGGGGTGCGGGTGGAGGGAGGGAGATATGTATTCACTACTGGAGCTGCTGTGGGGGTACCTCGGAGAGCATTAGGTGGTGATGGGGGGGAGGGGAGGACTGCCCCAGACACACCCACTCCAGCCTCCTGTCAAAGTAGGCGTGGTCTTTTGAAAGTCTGGAGTTCACATTCCTCAAAGCTGAGACAGGACTCAGCATCTGATATGAACACAATAGCCGGAGTATTCGTTTTGCCGGGTTCTGGGTTCTGCATGCGTTATGTAGGCAATCCAATTTAAGCTTTACCGTTACTTTGCATCATCTTTTTATTTGCCGTATCCCCATTTTGCAAAAGGAAACAGACTTATGAAGAGGTTAGTCACTTGTCCAGTCTCCGGAACAAGAGAATGGGAACCAGGATGGGAAGCCAGTCTGCTTTGGAGCTCCCAGCCTTACCCAGAGAGCTGATGGTCTCTGGACTCCTTGGTCTTAGCCCACTGGCGTGGAACCTATTGCCTCAGGGACCCAGCTCTGGGCAGCTGTTCCTGAATCCCAGGACAAGTGTGACTGCCCCCCCCCCAACACACACAGAGTCCTGAACACCCCAGCAGGCGGCAGGAGTATCATCCTTGTTAGATAAGCAGGGAACTTGACCTCCAGAGCAGTTGGGGGGCCGGGGGGCTGGACACAGCAGACTGGGGGAGCTTGGGCTTGACCCCGAGGCTGTTGGTCTCCAGAGCTCAGAAGCCAACCCCCACCAGGTAGAGTGCCACACATGGTCCCAGAGGTCCTGGAGCATTTGGGCTTGACTAGCTTCAGAAGGAGAAATTCCACAAGTTATCTAGAAAGTCTGATTATTTCTGTTTCTTGGTTTTGTGGTTTTGATACTGTGATCTCTATTCGAATCTTTGACTTCAGTTAGCACTTCACATCTTCAGAATTATGGAGAACAAAAGCCAAAATGAAAAAAAAAAGATTATTCAGTCACAAAACTAAATATGCACAGAAATTAAGTAAACCATCAAATGATTCTCCCCCCCCCCGCCCCCCCCTGAAGTTTATAGTATTTACACTTTAAGTTATTCAAGCTTAGAACTACGGAGACTTTTGGGCCCTCTTGTATATTAATGGATGGCCCTGTCTGATGCCAGTGAGAGCTGGCAGGAGCTGGCAGGGGACCACAGACCAGGGGTGTGAAGTACAAGGGGCCTTTAACCCTTTTTTTACCAGTAGCTTCCTGAAGGCTAAAATCTGTCTCTGGGAGGAGCAGCCTGGCTAAAAATGGTTTTTGGCTAAAAATAGTCAGTCCTGCCACCCTGGTGGGCAGAGGCTCCTTCCCTCCCTCCTTCCTGCCCAGCAATTTGCTGACTTGCCCCCCCCACATGTTGCCATGGTAACAAGGGAGGTGGGTCACAAATAACTGGGTCTGGCTTTCAGCCTGGGGCTGGCCCCAGGGGCTGGCCTTGCAAACACATGCCCCTTTCACGCTGCCTCTCAGGGTTGGCCAGGAGGGCTGTTTTTCTCTGCTCCCCCTCTGGTCCCTCCCATTTCCTGGCTCCGCCTGTCTGAGTCCCAGCCGGGCTTGTGCCTGGAGTGCAGTCATCCCGGCCAGGATTCCAGAGAGAGACAGAGACAGAGACGACAGAGACACACACACACAGAGAGATCAGCCCTCCGCAGTCTGCACATTTAACCTGGAAGCCTAGGAACCCTGTGGGAGGCAGGAGTCTGAGGGCGCTCAGTCCCCGTCATCCTGAGTCTCAAGGTGGGGGACCCTTGGGAGATGCTCCGAGGCATGTATCTCACGCGCAACGGGAACCTGCAGAGGCGGCACACCATGAAGGAGTAGGTGCCCCTTGCTCCAGGGTGCAGCCTCCCGCACCCCACATTTGCGGGGGTTGTGTGGGCCAAGCTGATCAACCCTCTTCTCTGCTTCTGCCCCCAGAGCCAAGGACATGAAGAACAAGCTGGCTATCTTCAGGAGGCGAAATGAATCTCCGGGGGCCCCGCCAGCCAGCAAGACAGACAAGACAACCAAGTCCTTCAAGTAGGTACCCTCCGCCATCCTGGCACTCACTCTGGTGGTCACTGGCTTTTAGAGAGGACTGGGCAGTGGGTTCGGGGAAGAGGCTTTGTCCACTGGATCCTACTATAAGGTGAGGGAAGCTGTTGTTTTGGGGAACCCAGTACCCAGCAAGCAACTCCTTCCAGAAGCTGCTGTTCTGGGGAGAAGGCCAGGCAGTTGGGGGTGGGGGGGATTGGAGCTGAAAGTAGAGTTAGCTTCCCAGCCAGAGGTCCTTACACACTCCTACCCTCACCCCTCAGGCCTACCTCGGAGGAAGCCCTCAAGTGGAGCGAGTCTCTGGAGAAGCTGCTGCTTCACAAATGTGAGTAGGGGCCAGCCACTCTGTCTTCCTCTGGCCTTCTTACCACCCCTCTTCCCATAACTCATCCTAGAGAGTGTCCCCCAGAAGTGCCTTCACTGTCCCCTGGCCCCAGTCAGGGGTCGCTCCTGTTAGAGAACAGCAGGGCACACTAGGGCCCTTAGTTTGGCCTTTGGCTTGGCTCCTGCCAGCCCCTCCCTGCCCGTGGGAGCTGGCCCTGCCTGCCAGAGGCCGTTGGGACCTGTGTGTTCAGATCATATTCTCAGAATAAGGGAAAACATTTCCATGGACCGAGGGCTCACACTGGGCCAAGTATGCCTGCCACCTCTGGGGCAGGATTCCTCTAGATCTCCCGTGGCTCCAGGAGATGGGTTGGATAATCCTTATTTTACAGAGGAGGACACTGAGGCATAGATAGGGGGAAAAGCAGCCAAGACCCCAAACAAGACATTCACAGGGCTAGGGACGTGTCCAAGTGCTCCACCGTCCTCTGGGGTTCGGACTCTTGAAAAGCCCCCAGCATGTCCCCTCTCAAGGCTCTTGGAGGGGGTACAGAGGAGGGGTTGCTAAAGGCAGGCAAGGCCGGCTGTGCCTCTCACCCTGGCCTGGTCTTCCCCTCACAGATGGCTTAGAAGTGTTCCAGGCCTTCCTTCGCACTGAGTTCAGTGAGGAGAACCTGGAGTTCTGGCTAGCTTGTGAGGACTTCAAGAAGGTCAAATCACAGTCCAAGATGGCAGCCAAGGCCAAGAAGATCTTTGCCGAATACATCGCAATCCAGGCTTGCAAGGAGGTAAGACTTTTGGCTAGGACCTTGGGTCCTCAGTCTCCCTGGCCCAAGAGCCTTTCTGCTGCTAGGAGGCAGCCAGCAGCTCAGGAAGGGAAGAGGCCGGAGAGACTATAAGTGCCTGGTTTGCTAGGTGGACCAGAGAACAGAATGGTAGCCCATAACAAAAATGGCCTGGCTCGGCACTGCCGTGTGCCAGGGTCATGCTGAACTCTTTATGTATGAGCTCCTGGGTTTAATTTTATACTGACCTCTCAAACAACTCTGAATAGCATCCTCATTTTAAGAACGAAGAGAGTCTGGGCTGGGGCAAGAGCTTAGTTGGTCAAGCATAAAGGCCCAAATGGGGTCCCCAGAACCCAGGCAACAAACAAGGCAGGGCTTGTGGTACATGCTTGTAATTCCCTCTCAGGAGGCAGACGGGATGGCTCGCTGGCCAGCCAGTCTAGCTTAACCTGCGATCCCCAGGTTGATGAGGGATCCTGTCTCCCTGAGGAAATGTGGATGGCATCTGAGGGATGACAGCCAAGGTTGTCTTCTGGCTGTCGCGTGCAGGCACGCACATGCTCACACACAGTCACATGCAAAATGAAGAGGGTCTCAGAGAGCCTGCAGAGACCCCAGTGCCACTCAGTGCCCTCTGTGTGGGGGCACACACGCCCGGTTCTCACAGCTCCGAGGAAAGCACCGTCTCTCCGGCACATAGAAAAACTGAGGGACAGCGTCCCTGAGTGGTTATCTCAAGGCTGCTAGCCCGTGAATCTCGGCAGCCTGACCCTAGGGGTGGCGTTTTTAGGGGTCATAGATACTGCCACCCAGCAGCACTTGATGGAAGCAGGTCTTGGGGCCCTTTGTAGTGACCCCCACTGTTTCCCTGATACTCGGCCTCCAGACGAGCAGTCCTGACCGTGCCCCTCTGTGATTCCTCAGGTAAACCTGGACTCATACACACGAGAGCACACCAAGGACAACCTGCAGAGCGTCACGCGAGGCTGCTTCGACTTGGCACAAAAACGTATCTTTGGGCTCATGGAAAAGGACTCATACCCTCGCTTCCTCCGCTCCGACCTCTACCTGGACCTCATTAACCAGAAGAAGATGAGCCCCCCGCTCTAGGGACCGCCAGTATCCAGCTCAGCGTTCACACCAAGCGGAAGCGGGCTCCCTGCCCATCCGCCTCCCTCCCCTGTGACGGAGGGGGCAAGCGAGCCCCCAAAGGCTGTGTCTCCAGACAGACAGAAGGACATTTGGATTCGAGACCTGGACTGAGAGAGACCCAGGCCGCTACAGGAGTAGGAGGACAGGCTGCGTCAGGTCCTCGATGCTCCGGTACGAGGGGACCAAGGGCTCTGGCAGGCCCAAGCCGGATCAGGAGCTGTAGCTCCATGCTTTGGAGATTCAGAGACTTCACGCTGACCAAGTTCCTTCGAGAACTGGCTAGGGGAGGCCCAGAGGCCCAGGCCTGGGCTCTGAGGACGTCTTGGGGGCTGCGGGGGGGCTCACAGCTCGGATCCTCCCCCCTCGAATTTTATTTATTTAAACTGTAGTTGGATGCTTGGCAGTGAACTGTAATAGGAAACCTTCGCCCTGCCAGTTTTCTTACCTTACAAGTGCAATATCTTAACCAATGCCTTGTTAAAGCCACCTGGAGGGGCGGCCACCACCCTGCCGTCTCAGGGCAGTCGCTGGTCCCAGGAACCAGTGGTGGCAGCTGGGCCTTCTAGACTGACAAGGCCTTGCGGGGATGCTGCAGAAATCGGGCACCCCCTGGGTGGGTGTCCCCCCCCCCGCAAGAGAGCTGGGAAAGCATAGTGCCCTCCGGCCACACAGTAACAAGTGTTGGAGTGAATAAACGGCCTGTGTTCTTCTCATTCCTGGGCGTCGCTGTGTGTTCCTGGTCTCTAGCCTCCACGGGTGGCTGGGCCGGGAGGCCTGGGAGGTGTACTGTCACCCCAACAGCGACTTCTTTGTCGCGACCGCCTGCTGACCACCCTGAGACCAGGCTCCTGGGGTCCCTGGCATCTGTCACAGTGAAGCAAGTCAGGGGACCTTGGGTAAGGTCCTTCCTTAGGCAGCAGATACCAGAGACAGAGTCTAACCGAGTGAAGCCCGATTGGCCGTGAAGCTTCTGCTCTCGGCCCTGGGATGACAAGTCAGCACAGTGGCTAGCTGCCTGTGGGACCTAGTCAGTTCCTCCGCTTCACCCTGCCACACCCTGCCACACTATTAATGAAATGTTTAGGGGCACTGGGATGGATGCAAGAGTGTGAGTGGGGCCAGAGTCTCAGGTAGGGCGGCAGCAGACTCACAGGCCTCTAACAGAAGGAAGAGCTAAAGAGGCATAAGGAAGTAGGACTCCAGAGTTCCTCTGGGGCCTTGTTCCCATCTCTCTCCTTGGCATCCTCATTTCCCCTCCTGTGTAGCAAAAGATACAAATGCACAAAAGTCCTGCCACAAAGGAATACTGGAGGGTAGTATACTCTTGCCTAGACGGGGCCGGAACCAGAGCCAAGCTGACACCCAGGCAGGCCCTGAAGCCCACACATACAACCTCATGAGGCACGGTCCAGGGTGAGACTAGCTTCTCTGGGAGACTCAGATGAATAGATGATAGAGCTGGTATGTGAGAGTCTAGACACAATCCCCTAGATCCTTTTGCTTGCCTGGCGTCCTGGGCTCAGGTCTGTCCACCAGGGAGCTGGAGAGATGCAAAGGGCATGGGCCTGACAGTCACTCTCTTCTCTGCCATGCTGTGTCTGCCCCCTGCACAGGGAGAGGAGCAGAGTGGCAGCTGGTAGCTCCCATCAGGAAGTTTGGGGGCTGCACTGTGCAGAATGGTTGGGCAGGGCATGGGTTCGAGAGGGTCCATGGTCCCACTCCCATTGCAGACCTGGGGTTTCTCTTGGCAGGAGTGTGTGAGCTGACCACCTGACTTCAGGTCCCTCTGCAAGGGCTACGCCTTGGGCCTGTCTTTGGAAAGACCATCTGGACACCAGGCTAGTGTTCCCCTTTATCAGACAAGCTCTGGCAAGCACCACCAGAGTCAGGTGTGGTTAGTCTGTCTCCAAAGGCTGCATGGGTAGTAGAATAATGCAGTCCTGGGTTTGAATCCTGTCGTTGCTGCTGACTCACTCTGTGACTGATGCTGGCCTGTCACCGTGGGGTCCTGATGCAAGTAGAGAAGATGCCATGGACAACTTAGCTCTGGGATGGAGGCCCCGTGAGCCAGTGCCTATGAAGGATGTGCCCTGGACCAGGCATGGACAGGGACGTGTTGGCAGCCATTTTGCACCTCCAGGAGAGTGCTGGGTCTTCCTTTCCCCAGGCTGGGGGAAACTCAGCAGGAGGCCTAGTTAGTGAGTCTGTTTGGCTTTGTAAACAGTGAAGGTCTTCCCCAACATGGGGCCTCATTAAGGCTGACCATTTGGGAAGCAGAGCTGGGTTTCTATTTGAGAGCAAGGGTATTCCTCAGGCTTCTTCCAGGCCTGACTGATTCCCGAGGACTGCAAAGGCACCTGTTTCTCTACATCCTTCGAAGCAGAGCTAGGTCAGTCAGAGCTGAGGACCCTGGTGCCCCGCTTGTCCTGGCTCCTCTGGGGCATCTTATGCTTCGAAAAGTCCCTGGCTACACATAGAGATTCACTGACCTCTTTCGTGGGGTTCCAGGGATACAGCCATGAGCCAGACCCTCCACCTTCCAAACCCAAGTTGCCATGGAAACCAAAGTCCAGGAGAACAAAGTCAGGCAGATGGAATTCCCATTTCGGAAGGCCCCATTGCCTGCTTTCCATGACTCATGCACACCCTGGTTCCTTTGGCTGCAGAGTGCCTTTGGCAGTGTGGAGCGGCTAGAGGCTGGCCTGAAACGGTGCTGGGTTCTCCTGTCCTGGCCCCACCTGGACTCCCGGACGGGTGTGTTGTGTGTGTTGGGGCACATCCTCCTACCATGTTAGGCTCAGTGCCCTCACCTGGATAGGGTTGTTTAGGACCAGCATCTTGTCCAGCAGTCTGGCCCGGACGATGTGGGTCTCGCGCTGGGAAGGCCTTTTCTGCACGCACAGCCTCTCACATAGCCAGGAAGACTGAGGCAAGCCAAGGCCCTAGCTCAGCAAGGGCATGGAGTCAGCCTCTCTTAGTTCCTGTCTCTGCTTCCTCCTGGTCCCAACCTGTGAATCAGTCTCTTAGCCTTTCTGCCTCTGGTTGTGTCCCAAGAGTTGGAACTCTGCACGAAGCTGTACATAGGGTCACTGGCGGGTGGTCCTGGCGTGGGTATGTGTCCTTAAACATAAGCTGCTATTGGCAATAGTATTCAGGATCCAACTAGACCCGAGAGAACAGGGAGCTTGTCATCCTGCGTAGCTGGAAGACACAGCTAACATGTTCCCAGGAGTAAGTCAGAGACAGCGTGTCCCTTGCATGGCTGCCCAGCCTTGGCCTGGCTGGGAGCAGCGGGGGTCAGTTGGAAGGGTGAGTGGGGAGGGCACAGCCGTTGCCACTCCCCTAGGTGCTTCTGCCAGCTCAGCTGGGCTCCATGTGGATGAGTCAAAGCCCTCTTGCTCAGACTGGTATGTAAGCAACATATTTTCCTGTCCTCTCCTGGCCTGGGACATCGAGTGTCCCCAGCTCCTCCAGCCTGCAAGAAACCAGCTGGTCCAAGCTGCCATGCAGTGCTTAGGCCTTTCCTGGGTCTCTGCTTGCCTTCCTTCACTGAGAGGGACTTCATTATTTCCTGAGGGTGTGCAGGAGGGGCCTGGGAGCTTCTTGAGGGCTCTCGACTTCTGTCCATCTGACGTCAGGATCTTGAAGCAGGTCATTGGCAGCCTGGGAGGGACTCTAGTCGTAGACTCTCTGACTCTAAGCCTCTCTGATGTATTTCTCTGTCCCTTACCTGCTTCCAGATCTCAGGCTCCCAACACCCCGGCCCCAGGGCTGTTTCTACCTTAGAATTCTGGACCCTTACTGAAGCCACAGACTCTGAGCTCAGACACACACCTTGTTTGCTGCTGCTTTGCTTACAGTTGGCAACATCTGCAGAACATCTGGCTTTGTCTATCCTCTCCATGACTGAGCGAGGCAGGAAGAAGAGGTACCCAAACCTCCTGCCACATTAGTGCCCTGGGGTGGGGGACTTCCTGAAGAAAAGCTGTGGGGCTGTTTCAGGCCAGCTCAAAGAGAGGATGTAGTCCGTGAGGGATGGTAGGCCAGGTTGCAGATGGGAAGAACAGTTCCCTCTAGTCAAGGCACACACTGAACGTGGTGTGGTCCATGCCCTGTCCCCACCCGTCCTCACAGTTGCCTGAGGCAGGGGCTAAGGATTATTTTTCACCCCCTAAAAGAGAAAGTAAACGTTCTGGGAAATGTGGGTGAGCATCTTGCTGCTGGCAGTGCTGGGACCTCAGTCCCCCAACCCCCAAACCCTACCTCACACAGAGGCAGAGACGACCTTAGGGAGGCAGCTGGGTCTGCAGCCCTCTGAGGAACACAGAGAAGGTGGAGAGGTGAGCAGGGCGGCAGAGGTCTGGGCCCAGTGTTTGCTTTTCCTCTCTAGTTCTGTGTCAGGAACTGGTTCCATCCTCGGAGTTTGGTGCATTCCAGGCTAGGACCAAAGTGGCGAAGAACAGGACCTTTGGAGGACAGTGGACCTGGGTTGAGCAGGTTTGTGGACTTCTGAAGTGTACTGTGTGACCTTGGAATAGTCCCATCACCTCTCTGAGCCCCTGCTCCCGCATTTATGAAGAGAGTGATAACAGCTCTCTGCGACTTGAGAGCAAGTGTGAGCTTTCTATGCAGACCAGCTGCGCCTGCCTTCCACTCCAGATGCTCTGGGTCAACCTCAGCGCAGGGCCTTCGCGTTCATGGTTTCCCTGCCTGGGTATGCCTCCCCACCCCCTCCCACCCCCGCTCCTTAGTGTGGCAGTGACCATAGTTAATATGGATGGAGGGTCAGCTTGCCAGACTTCTGTCAGCAAAGAGTCGCCGCAAGGTGTCATGGAGCCAGATTCAGAAGCCAGGCCTTGGCAACTCACCCACTTAGTTTCCAGACTCAAGCAAGTTGCTTCCCTTTCCTGGCCTCAGTTTACCCTTTCGTGTGTGGGAATGGTGCTGAACCTGCATGAAAAGGCAGCCGCGGCACTAAGTGAAGAGTGAGTCCTGGGGACACGCCGGCAAGTGTCTAGCAGCTATAAACTCACAAAATCTCTAATTCCCCAGTAGGAAAGGGGGTCCAGAGCCGAGCACGGTGTGCATAAGGCACTGGGGAAGTGGAGGCAGGGAGGGTCAGGAGTTCAAGGTCAGTCCAGGCTCCATAGCAATTGCCGGGCTAGACTGGACTATATGAAAGCTTGTCAAAAACAAGCAAGTAAAAACAACCCCAAATCCCCAAAACAAACAAAACCCAAGGCACAGAGTCCATCTTGCCCTTGGGGACACGAGAAAGAGGAGTCGGACGTGAGGGCTCCAGGACCTGTGCTCTTGAGTTTAAGCTGTGGTCCATCCCTCAAACCCTACACTGTAGCCATCACCTCTTCAGGAAGAAGACTTCCCAGACAATAATGCTCACTACAAGGGGCCTTGCTGCTGCTCACAGAGTGCCTGGTGTCTTTCCTTCCTCGCCTGTCACAGGTTGTAACTGCCTGTCTCTATGGGTTCGTTTTGTCAGTGTCTCTATCTTTCAACAGTAAAAGCCTTGGGGATGGGGTCCCCATCTGTCTCACCCCTCATGGCATCCCCAGCCTTATCACAGTGTCTAATGCATGACCAGTGCTTAGCTGGTGCTTATTTAATGCCTGGGACTGTGGCTCAGTATGTGGGCTGGGGGCAGCTCAAGCTAAGAAGCCATAACGGGAGATATCTGGTCTGGAAAGCTTAGG